ATAACCAAAAATGATGCACAGAAACTCTCTAGTTTCCAACTGAAGCTGAAGGAGACAAGTATTCTTTTTCAGTTCCCTTAGTGAAACATTGATTCTTGTTATTAAGAACTGTAAGTTACAGTATGCTCAGATCCTGAGCCTTTGTTGTTGTTTGTTCAAATAAGTAACATCTTTAACTTTTCAGATTGAAATTAGTTTTAGTTTTGCAGGGTGAAACGATAAATACAAAAGAAAAACCATCAAACGTTCAGCTGTGTCTGTTAATCATTAAGGGTGCTCTACAGCAAGCTTTGCGTGTAATTCTGCATCGGGGAAAGGTACTGTGTTACCGCAGTCCGTCGGTGCCCTGGGACGTGGGCTCTGAATTGGGCTAGGGTCTTGGGAGATAATTAGCCTTTTGTGTTTGAGTCCTTAACAATCTGGTGGCCTTTTCTCTCTAGCACCAATGGCTGGTAATTGTTTCTCTCTCTTGGTTTGTGTTTTTGGGGTCTTATTTTTCTGCATTAAGGATGTAGACAGCAGTCTAAACTTTTTTCAGTAACTGTCAAGTAGTACCTGCTACAGTACAGAACAGGCATTTTGCTGTTGACGGTAGAACATTTAATGTGTAACACTTGAAGACCACTAATTCTCTGTTCTCAGAACCATATTGCAGCTATTACAATAGACTGAATTCTGCAGATTGTGAAGTTAAGCCATATTATAGGATGGCAAGATCTTTTTTATTGTCTGAAGTTTCCCGTGTTTTTTAGCTTGTCTGCCCCTCCTCCTCCTCCCTCAAATCCCCCTCTTCTAGAAACAAAGACTTGTTTGTTCCTTCTCTGCCTGTGAGGTCTTTGCAGCCTCCACTGTGTGGGTGCAGAGCCCCTTGTTTAAATGCTTTCCATACCCATGGAAGGTAAGGAACAGGATGCATCAGAAAACTGAGAAGTCCCTTTCTAATAGATAAATGAAGCTCTTTGCCTTTGAATTCAAAGCACTTAAAAAGAGCTGTGTGTCTCAGGATCATCACAAACCTGTGAGGTGTGGAAAAAATAAAATGTGCTTATCTGAGATCCCATTGATAAGCATACCCTTCAGAGTGCAGATTTCTGCAGTGGTGTCCTCAGTAAGTAAGGGAGTAAGGGAGAATTGGGAATTAGAAAAAAAAACCATGCACAAAACAAACAAAAAAACCCACCTCAACAATAAAAATACCCCCACTTTAACCCCCTTTGTTTTTTCCTGTCACTTGAAACAAGATGTGTTTTCCCTCTTTTCATTAAATATTGCATTGGAATATTGCATTGGAAATTGTAGCAAATTGCATTCTTCTGTTTTCCTTGAAGATAGCACACTTGTGTAATCAGCCAAGATGGCTGAAAATCATTCATTGTTATTTCTGTTGGGTTTTTTCCCACTGGTTCTTCAGCTGGGTATGTTGTTAAGTCAATAAAACTCAGTTACGAATGTCTTCTTTTAATGTCCAAACTTTTAGTTTAATTTCACAGGTAAAAGTAGTTCCTGATCTGAAAAACATCTCTATGGTCTGTTCTGAGGACAGTTTAAAGTCTTGTCGAAGTCTTTTGCACTTGCATTCCTGAAATAATAAAATGCTCAGGAAAATCCCTTTAATTGATTCCTGAATAAGAACTTGAAAACTAGATTTTTAGGTTCAGTTTTTGTATAGTTATCAAATCATATAATTAAATTTCCCCCAATACTTATTGATGAATGTGAAGTACACAGTGAAGTCTCGATATCTTATGATATTCCCGTTTTAGATAAACATTTAGTTAAACATTACTTTCAAAATGGACATTAGAAGGCATTTCAGGGCTCTAGGATGATGGAATAAAATGGAAAACATCAGACAAACATGATTTGTTTCTTACAGTTGTAATTGCTAAGTTAGTAGATGGGAAGAATGGAGCAAACTGTAATAAGAGAGAACAGGGATAATGAAAGCAGCTGTCAGAAAGATACAGGTATATAAAATACCAGGAACTTAGCAAGAGAGGGAAAGTATTTCCAAAGCTGCATATTGGTGGAAAAGAGATCTAGGGAAGTAATCCTTGTATGGTGCATGCAGGAAAAATAAATTCATAACATCTTGAAGTGATATTGCACTTAGTGTTTAACTAAGGTTAGAAACTGTTAAATTTATATGAGGTTATCTTTAACATGACTTGGCTGTGAACTGCGTGAGGCAGGGATGCTGAAACCACGATTACAGAATTAGAGACTAGACTGTGAAGGTGGCCTTTTTAACCTAAGGAAAATTGACATTCTTCAGCTTTGGGTTCTGAATTTTTACAAGCTAGATTGCTTTTTACTTAGATGTGCTTCTTTCAGGTGATTGTAATTTTCTAACCTTTGTCCCTCTTTACTTTCCACTCTAATTGACCTTCTATCTTGTTTAATAACAGGGTTTGTAATCCTGGAACTTCTGAAGGGTGGCACAGGCTTCTGCTTGAGTTGCAGAATTAGGTAACAGCAGAAGGCTGTTGTTTTCTGTTGTCCCGTGCTAATCCCTTCATTGTCTGCTTTTAAGGTGGAAGAGGGTAAGGTATAAAAAGCAAAAGGCATGGTCCTGGTTCCAGACTCAGCAGGATTCTGAGTAAAAAGAGAAAGGAGGACATATATTCCCCACTTCATTAATATCATGTCTAGCTTGTCTAGAGCTGCTGGGTAGGCTGCCTTTCTTCTTGCATTGCTCTCTTTAGCTTCAGCTTCGCTCGAGTTTAGTAAATGCAGGTAGTCTAATTGCTGTCAGTCTTCCAGCAGAGATTGCCCAGTGGACATCCTGGAGCCTGTAGTTACAGTTCACTGCTCACATCCTTGCAGGACAGCTGTTGGTGCTTAACAGTGTCTGGGGGAATATGAACCTTCTGTGTCTGTTCAGCAGAGGAACAAGCTGTCCCATCTCTACCTGTTGCTGGCTATGGGATCACAGCTCACGTGGCAAAGCTGGTTGGTTGGCTCATCCTGGCCACCTTCCTGAAGTTTGAGTTTTGATAGTGAAGTGATGCTGGATGTCTCGTAAGATCAACCACTTAAAATTAAGCTTTAATCCACAGCAATGTCATCTTCCCACTATTTTTTTCCCTGCTGGGTCAGGATGGGACTTGCAGGTTGGAGTTGAACCTCCAGCGCTTTGTATTCATTCTGTTGTTTCTACTTGGTATTGGGATTCATTCTATTCCTACTTCACCTGTTCACTTACCTGTACAAGAAGTTTTATCTTATTTGTGATCAGATGTATGAAGCTCTCTTACAAGTAACTACATAAAAGATTATTTCAAATTAATTCAAGCTATTTGGCACTTCAGTTTATTTTGACATGACTCATGAAAATGTGACCCACCTGTCCATTAGACTATTGACTCTGTGCTGGACCTATGAAATAGTTGAAAGGGTAGAGAGAAGGCTAGAGAATTGAGTCTGCAACTGGTTTTGATTTTTGTTGTCTGTTATATTCTCACTCCAGTGGGCATATGGCATTTCTTCTTCATAAGTTACCTCTCCGTGGAAAGACGAGCTGTGGCAAGGGGAAAAGGGAGCAAGACTGTGAAGCAATAGCCATTTTTACTGCTATTATGACATAAACATATTTCGGCTTTCTTGGAACAGAAGAAAAGCACTGCTGTACCTTAAGTTAAACACTCAAAAGACAGTGGAGATTGAAGGCCTCTTCAGAGAAAAGATAATACAGATTCTTTGAGATAATTACCCTTTCTTATGATACTTAGAAGTGTTAGAGTTCCAGAAGTCCTCTATATATGATGAAAACATTAGTTCAAACTAATACAACAGATGGGTTTCTTTGCACCAAATCAGCCTGTCCTCCTGAAAGAAGCTCGCACCTTTTTTTTTTTTTTTTTTTTTTTCTTTTTTTTTCTTTGTTCCAGATCCTCATTTCCTGGCGGGGGGGGAGGGTAGAATCCCTACCACTCTCTCATCACTGCTTCGGCAAACACATTCTGCAGCATATTGTGAAACTTAACAGATTCAGGCTATTCCAGACAATATGATGGAGAGCTAATTCCAAAACTGAAAGCCCCTGAAAATAGTGCCCTTGTAATACATTCAGCTTTTGCCAGACCTCTCTTTCACTATGGGAACTCCAGTGCCTCTGTTGACTTTCCCCAACACAAGACCAGTATGGTTAAAAATCAGGACTGTGAGGTAGGTTCATCCCAGTCGTGCATAATTTTATAAAATAAAATTTTCTTAGGTCTTGCTTTTATGGGGGAAGGGAAGTGTCATCTTGTATGCCTAATTGTGCATTAGGCATACAAGATGACACTTTTTCTTCTCCACACCCCAGAAAAGATGCATCACGTACTTCTGTGGGGTAAAAGAAAATGAAGCACTAGCAAAATGTTTCCTATGTTGGTGGCATTATTTTTGGCTGTATAATTCATTTGCCAGTTCTGTACCACCTCTAATTGTGCATGTCAAGATGCCCTAAATGGAGTCTGTAACACTCAAAATTCGTTGTGACAAGGTTGCGAATGATTGTTGCGTGACCTGCACCACACTGGGAAGAATGGTAGCCTTTAACCAAATGTAGTTTGATGTAAGTCAGGTGATCTGTTTTATCATTCTGTATGTTCTGGAGTTTAATGATTCTAAGATTTCACATGAATATGAAAAGTGATTTTGTATTATTGGTGTCTAAATTGAGAATAGTTTATTAGGAAGAAGAGAGATCCTTCTGATCAAACTTGCAATATTTTGTTACCACTTTTGAATTTTTCACCAACTTGCACGTTTAACTGTTTTCGGAAACTTTTAGAACAAGTATATACTCTTAAACATGAGACTTTTGCATTGATTTCACAGCAGTAACACATGTGAGCATACATTTCACACTCTGAGCATCAGTGTAGCTGCATGCTTTCTAGTGTCATGGCTTGTAATTTTGTAAAGTTTTTAATATATACCTTCTAAGGACAATAGTTTCCTTGCATTTGTCTGAATTTCATTTTAAAATGTTTATTGTTTTGGTTCCTTAGCCATGAATCAGCGCATCAGCCAGAGTGCTCCAGTGAAACAGCCACCCCCCCTTGCTCCTCAGAGTCCCCAGAGTGGTGTGATGGGGGGGAGTAGCTCCAATCAGCAACAACAGATGAGACTTCAGCAGCTGCAGATGGAGAAGGAAAGGCTGAGACTGAAGCATCAAGAACTGCTTCGGCAGGTGAGGCCACAGGTTAGACACCTACTTCCACTATTTCTTTTGTATGTTATGTTTTGTTTTGGCTGAGTTGTTGTTTCAGTGAGTCTTAAAGATTGGTGACTGCACGAAAAGCTTTGAGATCTAAAAAGGTCTGAATTCATTCTGTTACTGATATCAGGTTGGTAGTGAAAGCATCTGACTTCTCAGACTGAAGGATTTTGCTTTCCTCCCTCATTCCTCTCTAATAAAACTCTCTGAGAACAGGCTTCTTTACTATTAGGATGACATCATGCACTGTTGATCTGATGGGATATTCCTCCTGAGAATATATTTCCTATTCATTGAGTTCTGAGTCATGCAAAAAGACGAGAAGTTGGTTCCCGCAGCTGCTTTAGTTCTCCGTTTTAAGTGGAGGAAAGTCTTTCGCTTTTAGAACCTGTGGCTGGCTGTAGGATTTCAAAATATTTGTAAAATTTATATAATATTCACAGAGGAGAAACCTTGCTGCTAAAATCTTTATGTTACAGCGGAGTGGAGCATGGAACAACTGAATCACTTGTGTTGCATTTTGAACCTGTGGTTTTCTTATGCTGAAGAATTTCAAACTTCATAATTAGGCTGCAAGCTATTCCTTTCAGTATTTTTCTACTCTGTAAATATAGCTGTAGCAAATGTTGAAGTGTAGGACATTGGAATCTCTGGATTTTTAATTTGGGCTTGACTTCCTCTTGACTTTAAGCCTTCTGCTTCAATTTTTCCATCTGAATGTTTTAAGAGTTACTACCATCTGTGCTAGATACTTAGGATATTCTTTGGCGTTTTGGCACTGCCAGAGAAAGCACTAATCATCTCTTTGAGGAAAACCTTCTAAAGTCTTACCCTGTTTTCACTTTGGGTGATGGGCCTTATATCAGGAGAGGATAACATCTTCATGTCCTCGAAGACGGCTTTTCTCTTTCTTCGTCACCTGCAGTATTCTGTCTGGAATCTGACTCCCGTTATCCCCTTTGTAGTCAAGGCCTGTTTTGTAGGAATCTTCAGCATCTCTTGGTGTAAGATGGGTCATCTTTACAGCTGTTACTTTTTATAGTACTCTAAGTAAGAATACATTGCAAGGGTGGCATCAGGACTTTCTCTCTGCTTAAGCACCTGGGCTTCTGCTGTTCCTGCTTTGCTATTAATCCACCAACAAACATTTTACCCTGTGCTAGCATGCTTCTAGGTAGGCCTTCTAATTGTCTTCTTGCCTCAGTTGTCATTGAGAACCTGACTAACTTTGGACCAGGTGACAACCAGTTCCCTCCATGTTGTTCTCCCTGGTTGTTAAGCTTATCTGTCAAATATGCATCCTTGGTAAATCTGTGAGTTTTGTTTCACTGTGTCATGGTTTTCATAGTTTAACTCCCTTATTCTGTCTCATCTGGCCTGTCCTGGGGGCTTGATACTACAAGATGGTGTTTATAAGACAGCCTGCATAGTCAAACCATGCAGCTAAAGTAATTTTTATCCATCTTATTTTTACTCTTAGGCATTGCGGAATATCAATCCCAGCACAGCAAATTCTCCAAAACATCAGGTAGGCTCTTAACTGATGTTTCAGCGTAATTAGAAAAATGAAACCATTAAATTAGGCTAGCAGAGGAACTTTTTGCTACATAAAGGCATTCTAAAAAAGAAAAACAAAACCGAAAAAACCCATCAAGCTCTGCCATACACATTTTTGAACCACTTCTATGGTCACGACCCTAATTTAAGAGTGCTGCATTACCACAACTTTATATCAATATTTAAAAGCAAATGAGGAATTCATTGCATGTTTTTCTGCATTAAGAACAACCTTCTTGTTTAGCATTCTTGAGGATACTGCCTTTCCAGTCCTGATGTCATCAAGATGTGTATTTTAAGCAAACCTCACATTATATCTAAGGTAGTAGCTTGTGACTTTTAAGTACTGTTCATATGAATTTTCTTATCGTTTGTTTCAACAGGTGTGATCTTAAAGAAGGTTATCTGTGATCTGTTAATAAAAAGTCACTTGAAATATTTATGATTTTTAAGCATGTACAATGTAACAGAATTATTTAATAGATTAGACTAACAAAATGATTGCTATGGCGATATAGTATGTAATTATTCCATTCTGACATTTAATAGGCTCCTGCGCAGATACATTTTCTGTGTAGGAAACAACAATTCTGAAAAGCCTGCCAAACTCAGACCAAAATAAAATTGGTCAAAATGTGAATCATAATAAACAGTTTAATGCGGACTTCTTTCAGGCTGTTAAGAAGTTGAACGTGGAATGAATCTCGAAAAGGCTGGATTTATGGATATATTCAGAGAGCTTCTTTCTTGCTATTGCTAACAGTATTCATAATCTACCGATTCTTAGGACAATATTTATATTGGCTTTTTTTTTTATTGGTTTTTCTAAGAAAAACACTATACACACTAGGCAAGAAAACAGAACTAAAAAAAAAAAAAAGAATCCTTTTTTTGGAAGCCGTGAGTACTGGTGTGCTATTGCATTCTGAAGAGTACCACGAAGTTTATACATTACTAGTTCTCCTGAGATCATCTTCAAAACAGAAACCTCAGACCTTAGAAATAGTACTGACACCCTGGAAAAAAGATGTTGTTTGTCAATGTAAGTGAAGCTCTAAAACTGAAGCATTTTAATTGAGATGTAATAATTTGATTCATTTACAGAGCATTAACCACATAATGATCTTGTTGATCATTCTTAGATCCTATTATGAAGGAGGAGAAAATTACTGAAGAATAGTTGGTATACAAGGGAAATAAGCAGGGCAGCATATTCCTCCACATCAGTTGGAAACACCTCATCTTCTGCCACAATTAGGTCATTCAGAAGGGAAGGTTTGCTTACTGAATGCCAGAAGCGTAGTCTGTGTTTTCTTGTATGGCTGAAGCCCTGTCATACGTTTGGTCACTCCTCCCCAGTAGCTTCTTCCTGTTGCCAACTCAGAAATGCGCAGCAAATGGAGAACTTTGGGATCAGCTTCATACTTAATAAGATCAGATTTTTGGAACTTCTTGAAATTCTGGCTTGAAACACTAAAAAGCTGCAAAAACTCAAAGGGACCTTATTGATAATTCGTTAAATGTATACGTAGTGGTCACTCTGCTTTGTCTGGGATGGGAACTGATGAAAGGATTTGTGCAAGAGTCAGTATTTCAGTTACATTTAAACTGGCTTCATACCAGGCTCACTTGCCTGGGATCAGTTTTATTAGTCGGCACTTGCTAATGAGTCAAGCTATGTTTGAGTGATCTGGTGGATAGAAAAGTAGGCAGTCCTGTGAACTTGGAAGTTCTGTAATACTACATTATTAATGTCGTAGCATCTAAATGCATCTTCTGTGTTTTCATGTGTCACTTCAAGAACGTAGCGAGCAGCCGCGTGGAAGAAGGCGCTTAGTAAACTGCTTCTGGAAATTGTTCTCTAAATGATTCTTGAGGCTTTGTAGCATAGAGCCAAATGTTGTCTGTCTTCTCCAATGATGCTATTATTGAAGTCCTAATCTGTACATCCATTCAGGTCATATTCAACCTAGAGAATCTGAAAAATCTGTAGAAACAACGAACATTTCTTCAGTCAGCTTTTTCTTTTTGACAGATCTTTTCCTTTGTGAATAAAACTAATGAAGTTTAGAGGAATTATCTGCTTTCATGATGATAAAGATGTGCTTGCGGGAAGAATAATAGCTTCTCTTGCGAAATTGTAGGTGTTCTTTTAAGAAATACTGAAAATAAAATCTTCAAATGTTCAGTGCTCTTAATACTGGGAAGACTTAAGTCTATTTTAGAGAGGGATTGTCAAGATCTTTCTTTTGTAAAGAAATTATATCACACCAGCATTCTTGAAGCTTGCCTTTAATGAAGTATCTCTTCTATATGGAAAAAAAAAACCTGAGAATGTTCCTTTTAACTGGGTCTCTGAGCTTTACTTAATCACAGAATCAAATAGGTTGGAAGGGAGTGGCAGAGATCAGCTAGTCCAACATCCTGCATCCAGCACAACCTCCTCTTCCTTCTTGACATTTTTGTCCACATAACCTGGATACAGTGCTGTAGTTGTATTCATATCTTTGGTCAGGTTTTTTTGGTACTGGGCAAACATTTTGTCCTTGTCAGTTCTTATCTCTCTGCCATGAAATTGTGGTCTCTTGTAGTAACACTAACACTCAAAGTCTTACGTATGAAGGCCTTAGCACTTAAATACCTCCTGGAAAGATTAAACAATTGCTTAGCCTCGTCATCTGTACCAAGTACTATAAAAGACTAATAAAAATTAGTCAAAGGTATTTGAAGCAAAAGTTGTAGCTTCCATATTTACTGTGTATAAACACGAGCTATTGATACATCTAGGGAATTTGAAAACACTAAGCATCTGTGCAGTTACTTACGCTCATCATCATCAATTATGTGTGTGAACACCTTAAAGATGCCTACCTGTCTTAGTTAAGAGATTGAGTGACTTGACTTTCTCTCCATCCCCAGTAGCTCTCCTCCCATTTTCCTGCAATTAGCATCTGATTGTCAACAGTGTCTCACCTAAAGTAGATGTTCAGTCAGCTTTTAGAGAAATCATAAAATTGGCTAGATGTTAGGGAACAGATTTCTTGCCTTCCAGTGTACGATGGAAAGAGATAGAGGCAAATAATGTTGAGGTGCTGATGGCATTATTCTTGGACATTGTGCAGGCTACTTTCTTGTGCTAAGACTGGAAGACTTCGTATTTTTCTGCCGCTAATATTAGGGTATTTGCTGGTAAGATCCGCGTCCTGCATAGCCGTTTACATCATAGTTCCCTCTGTGTATGCTTGCTCATTCCTGTCTGCTGCTTTTTCCTAGCACTAAACAGAGATCCCTGTCTGAGAGCCAGATACAGCCCTGCTTCCTTGCTACTCTGCTGGGGTGTGCTTTTCAACTTGCTTTTCTGTTATCTCTGTGCTGCTTTCTTGGAAGTTCTGCATACCTGGAATGTGCTCTCTGTTTATAGTCTCCATTCTTTTGTCCTTTTTATTTTATGAAGTACCACTCATATTCTCTGTCCTGTTGCCCTGGACTTACTTCTTGCCAACTTTTGAGTGACATTCTGGAAACTCCCCTACTTGGTGAAGAATCTGCAAAGATATATGGCCAGTCTGTCACTGTTTTCTGAATCACTTGGGTTTTGTTACATATTTTTTTCATATTTGATCTTATTGCATAAAATATAAGCACTTACAGTACTGAATAGTTGCTGGGTTTGAAATACTATTTTAGTTTACTATGATTTTTTTTTTTTTTTAATGAAAGTTCATTTATAACCAGTGTTTGACACCTTTCATCAGCTTAGTCGAGAAGAATTCCAGTGTTCCAGGAAAGTATTGGTTCCCTAGGACACTATTTTTCAGTCAGTTTGCATGTACACCAGTACAAAACTATGGTACTGTCAGATTTGTGACATTTTCTAGAAAGTAAGGAAAGCATCATTAAAAACCAGCACAGTCTTGAATTCTGTACCTTTGAATGTCCATGGTGTTTGCGAAGCTGAAGGTTTTACTGAGGACTTAAGTTTGGGGTTTTTTTTTTCCCCTCCCCTGTAATATGTCTTTCAATAACAAGATATACTTGTATTCACATCTTAGTGGAAATGGTGGGCAATAGTTATTTTAGTTTCTTAGTGAATCCCAAACAGCTTTGTCTCAGAGCTTTCATTTCCCATCCTTCCTTGTATTATCTGAAGCTGACCTAGATTAACAAGAGAAATGACTTCTCTTGGTTGCATCAAGGGCATTCGCTTGTGGGGGGGTGTTTGGTTTTGGTCACTTTTTTGTTGTTTTGTTTTTTTCTTAACAAGAGAAAATGTACTGAAGCCCGCCATTTGGTCTTAGAACGTGGCTTTTTTGACCCATGAAGATATGACCACTGGTATACAGAAACATTTTTGAAAAATACATTTTTCATGATGCAGGAAGAAAATAACAAGTCGCAGCAAATTCATAGCTGTGTGTCCTTTGGTTTTGATTTCCCTTATTACTTGATATTTGGTAGAGAAAATGGTCTGTGATGTGTTTTATTCTAAGAAAAGATCCATTATGTGAAAAGTTTTGAGGAGCGGTAGCTAATACACAGTGAAGAGTCTTTCCAACAAGTTTTTTCCCATTTAAAAATCTTGCTTCCGATTGAACATTTTACTCAAGAGTCACAAATAATACCTGAAACTTCTCATTTTATTGGAAGTAAATACGGTATCCCTCCTTTTCTTGTGTTTTACTCAGTACTAATAAAAAGAGCTATCAAGTTTTGCTTTGTCCCTCATAGTTTAAGTTTTCTGTTAGATGTTTCTTTTGTGGAATGAACAGAAAATTTTACTGATTTCTTACTCTCCAAAGTCACTAACAATGTTACTGGAGAACTGTCACTCAGATAAGGGAGCTGAGCAGCGTGTACGATATCATAAGTAACTTGAAGATTCCAAGCAGGCAGAAATGAATTTTGTATGCGTTTATCT